GGGGTCACCTGGGCCCGGGCTGCGCGAGGGCCTTGGTTGCAGGAGGGCGGCGTCCGGCGCGCCCTTGGGGCGCGTGCAGCGGGCCGCGACCTCAGCAGCCGGCCCGGAAACGCGGACCGTGACCTCAGAGGCAGGGCCGTCGCAGCGCGGGAGGGGTCGGGGACCCCGGCCCTCGGGCTCGGGCGGGGCAGACTCGGAGCTGGGGGGCTTCGCGAGTCCGAAGAGGAGGGAGGGAGCGGCGGGAGCTCACTTTTCCCTTTTATGTTTTCCACTTTGTGTGGGTGCACGTTCGCGGTGCGTATGATCACATTCCTCGCGGGGCGTCGGGGCGTGCGCAGAGCTCAGCTTCATTCTCTCCCGCCCCTTCCCTGCCCTCCCTCCCTCGGTCCCCTCCTCTTCTGCAAAATCTCTACTTCCTATCGTCTTTCTTGCTCTTTATGTATACTCCGGGTTTCTCTATAAGAGAAGCCACGCGATATTTGAGCCTGTGTGTCTGACTTTCCCTTAACATTCCGGTTTCAAGATGTACCCATTTTCCTACAATTTAATCAAGTTTATCCTTCTTTAAGTGTTAAGTATTCTCCAAAAAAACCAGAGCTGGGCGTGATGGCGCACACCTGTAATCCGCACTCTTAGAAACTGAGGCAGGAGGATTGCTGCGAGGTGGAGGCCAGCCTGCGTACCGAGTTCAAGGCCCACCTGACCTGCACAGCAAAACCCTGTCCCAAAAAGGAAGAAAAAGGCATGACTGCTTGGGATTCCTGTGGGCTAGATATTTTGGGAATTATGGTACTTTAGATTTATAAAATACTTCTAAAACTTTAAGAGACTTCCATAAATATTAAACTTTATTCTTGCTTTCGTACTCTAGGGTAAAGAGAAAAAGCCCTCGTGCACATTTTCCATTACAAACGCAGAGATTTTCAGGAATTTGTTCAAAGAGCACCCAACTGAGTCAATGCCAGCCTGTACCTACTTCCGTTCTCCCTATTTCGTTGCCTGAAATATTCACATCACCTCCTTTACCTGAAACATTCACGCAGCCCCTCAATATATATGATCTTATTACTATGGGATTTCCAGGCCCTTGTGCACACTAGGCAAGAGCTCTACCACTAATCCACACAAGCCCTGGACTAAACTCTTTTTAAATTTTTCTTCCTGCAGCCAAGCATGGTGGCGCACGCCTGTAATCCCAGCCCTTGGGATGCTGAGGCAGGAGGATCGTTGCGAGTTCCAGGCCAGCCTGAGCTACAAAGTGAGTTCAAAACCATCCTGAACTGCATAGTGACACTCTCTCTCTCAAAAAGACAAAAAAAAAAAAAAAAAAAAAAAATTTCTTCTTCCCCACCCCCCAAAAATTAATCCTGGTTGTAACATTCCCGTGTGTGGAGATCATGAGCTGCACGGTGATGCAAGAATGAAAATGTGAAGGTTATGAAGTGGAAACATTGGAGCCCCGTGGAAAA